TGATAGGGATTTCCTTTCGTGAGCTCCAAAATAATGAAAATCTACACCTGTTTTATTGAACAGCTTCAATGCTCTCTGAACAAGAGTACGTAGGAGGGATGAAATAAATGTAGTGAATAGCCCTGCGAGCGAAATCCTTGCTCTTCGCAATAAAAACTGCACCTTTGTCGAATCGCAAGTGAAATTTCAGCGGCGAAACTAAGCAGAACTAATTGTTTTTTGTGCGAGGGTATCGTGCTCGCGGATGTGTAAACATATTTGGAATATTTTATCAATTAGACCCGACCGGGGGTGATCCAGCTCCTGTATACGAGGGGGTAGTCGCCTGCGCCCTATAATGGTCGGAGAGCCGAATAATCGGATCTCTAGGGGATTATCGGGCTCAGCTGAAGCGTGATTAATTGATTCATATCGGAGACGGGCCTGTTATTATTGCGGCGCGTAAATAATTCCGATTTTGGCGTTCCTACAGGTGATTTGTACGGTAGCGTAGAAAGAAGCCACTGCTCTCTTCATTCAGAATTTTTGCTGCGAATTCAGATTTTCTGTTTATGACGGCAAGGCTTTTTTGCTCTGAATTCTATTTCCACCTCAACAGCTTCTCATGATCTACAAAGCACAGATACGGCCAGTTTATGAATACTGTTCTCAAGTAATATGGGGTTCAGCACTCAAACATACGCTGATGCTGTTATATAGATTCTCTCCAGAGGGAAGTAATTTGCCTGTTGCGTAGACCTATCACTTTTCTATAAATACCTTCACAGGAAATGTTCCTCAGAAGTCTCTGCTATCATTCCATCACCAGTAATACCAGTCAGACGAAGTCGACAGGCCGAGTCAGCACGTCCATGCATTGTCAACATTGAAATATGTCGAAGAACACTTTACCAGACAGCTAGAGTCCAACCAATCCCAAAAAAAGGGAACAAGAACCTGATCAACAACTACAAGCCCATTGCCCTGTTATCAGTAATCTCCAAAGTGATGGAGACAGCCATCAATATTGAGCTCATCAAATATCTGAAGAGCTCAGGAATCATCAATGATAGACAATACGGCTTTTGCCACCGAAGATCTACTGAAGATCTACTTGCCTACGTCACCCATTTATGGCAAGCTTCATAAGAAAAACAAGGGGAATCTCTAGCTGTCGCGTTGGACATATCGAAAGCATTCGACCGTGTTTGGCACAAAGGACTCCTCCACAAACTAACATCATACGGCTTACCACCTCAGCTATGCCATCTCTTATCGAGTTTCTTTCAGGCAGATCGCTTCACGTGGTTGTGGACGGTATATCGTCTGATACCATTGGCATCAATTCCGGCGTTCCACAAGGATCAATTTTGGCACCAACATTATTCCTTCTTCATATCAATGATCTGTTGGCAGTAACAACTTGCTCCATCCACAGCTTTGCAGATGATAGTACCCTCCATACTGCCTTCTCTTCCAGAACTCCCATTTCTTTCCAGGAAACTAAGAACTCACGGCGCAGGCAGGTCAATGCTTTCAATGAAGACCTTGCTGAAATCACAGCCTGGGGAACCAACAACCTAGTTAAATTCAACGCCATGCACCAAAACGCAAGCCTGTATTTTCTCTAGAAAGGCGGAACTCAGTATGCCCGATATTGTAATGTCTGGCACCACCATCCCCACCAAGCCCACCATATCTATGCTCGGGATTTCCATCAGCAACATTCTTTCATGAAATAATCATGTCAGATCCATCGCAAAAGCTGCTTCACAAAAACTCGGATTCTTGTTCCGTGCGACAAGCTACTTTACACCTCAACAGCTTCTCATGATCTACCAAGCGCCGATACGGCCTGTTCTAGAATACTCATCCCACATATGGGGTTCAGCACCAAAACATACGCTGATGCACTTAGATTCCATCCAGAGAAGAGCCATTCGCCTGGTGGGTGACGCCACACTCACTCACTCTTTGACATCATTGGAACACCGTAGAAAGGTCGGCGAACTTTCACGGGAAATGTTCTTCGGAAATCTCTGCTATCATCCCTTCACTAGCAATACCAATCAGACGAACTAGAAAAGCCCAGTCAGCACATCCTTTCGTTGTCAACCTCGAAAGATGTCGAACAGCACTTTATCAAAACTCCTTCATCCATAGAACGGCTAGGCTGTGGAATTCATTGCCTGAGGAAGTATTCCCAACAACATATAATCTCCAGAAGTTCAAAAAAATTCTAATGCCTACCTCCTGTCCCTATCCTCCCTAGGAACACACGATGTTCTTTGAACATAATAGGGATTTCCTTTCGTGTGCTCCAAGCGATGAAAAAACAACAACCAAAACTAGTTCGTCTATAGAACGGCAAACCTCTAGAAGTCTTAGCCGATGGAAGTATATTCACAAGAACTTATTATATTGACCACCAAAAGTTAAAAAAAAAACACCTACAACTCCTCTCCCTATTCTCCCTAGGAACGCACGAAGTTCTACGAACATTTTGGTTCTTTGCTAGCAGAAAACTATGAATTTTGTGCGACGCTACCCAACTCTCGTGATCGTCAAAATCCTGGAAGATTAGGTGAAGAGTATGGTGAGGAATATGAAGAGTACACAGTTGAATTGATATGGAAAACTATACAACACGTATACTTACCTGAACATAAACGTGATATAAATCCATCTGAAGATATTTAATTCAAAGGTACCAGGGATGGGCATAATGCAATATTTTTCTCAAACAATGAAAGAAAGTTCAGAAGCAATAACTTTAGATGAATTGCATTTTTATTCTGTTCATAAAATAATGATCTTCCTGAATATCACTCGACCATAACAAATAGAGACTATTCATTTCTTTAATTTATCTCGAGTACCTTGTATTTTGACAATTTGATGAGACCTTATATATGAACATAATCTGAATAACTCCCGAAAGCTTTTGCTAAAGCTGAAGTCAAAATACAAGGTACTCTCGATGGAATTATAAGAAAAATAATAGTCGGCTATTTGTCATGGTCTCGGGATAATACCTACGAATTTATCACATTGGTACTATAGTTACTCAGAAAATGTTGAAATCTGTTAATAACCGATAATTGGATATCCTCAAAAATGAGAAATAACTAATAAGGGTCACCAGCACAAGCCTCAATTTCAACGTGTTCCTACGTTTACTAATATTTTTCCAAAATATAAACGAAGGGAGTACGAAAGCTCTGGAGTGCCAATGGAAAAAAATAAAAAGTCGAAATTTCGACTTAGAAAGTCGAAATTTCATCTTACGAACTCGAAATTTCGTCATACCAAGTCGAAATTTCGTATTAGTAAGTCGAAATTTCGTATCAGTAAGTCGAAATTTCGACTTAACATCTCGAAATTTCGACATAGTTAACTTGAAATTTCGACATGATTGTTATCTCGAAATTTCGAGTTTTCATGAAAAGTCATGAAACCGGCTTTATTGATGGTTCTTGGCCATTACAAAAGACATCTAGATCTAGGTACCCACGACGGATGCCAGTTTTGGTTCACTGTTTTCTTAGTTTTTCAACTTAGATCTCTATTATACAGGGTGTCCCGAAATTAGCCTGCCAAACTTCACCAGCAGCTTCTTTGACCAAAAATAGGAAGAAAAGTTCCAATGAACATGAGTCGAGAAATGTCTCCTAAGGGATATGAGCTATGGTCCCCTGAGAGGGGGCTCCTGAAGATGATATTTCTTGAATATTTTCGAAACGCCACGTGATAAAATGATGTAATTTGGTACAATTAAGAACTAAACTTTCCATGCTCAATGCGGTGAACATAAAATCATTCAAGAGTTTCATTATTCAGGAGTAAAATACAAGGTGGGACTACATTAAATATTGCTCAAACTTTTTCGTATGCATATTTTTTGACAATTTAGTCTCGGATTATAAAAATCCACACCATTTCACAAAAATAAGTGCACTTGTTCCGCATTGATCAGATGTATCATTTTCGAGTGAAATCGATTTAAAAATATTGATGCATTCACATCTTATGCATAATGTTGCCAATTTTCAAATCATAGCGGCTATAAAAAAATCGAGTACTTTCTTCTCACCAAACAATCTCAAAAAAGCGCAAAAAATAGTAAAATGATGATGAGAAACTACTTGAATTTTTGTGCATTTTTTTCCATTTCCACTATGCCTCATATTGCAATGGTATGCATAATATCTGAGATGTAACACAATTAATATTCTTAAGTTGCTTTAACTCGATAACAATACATCATCTGATCGTCATGGAACAAGAGTACCTTTTTTCATAATCCGAGATTATATTGTCGAAAAATATGCAAACAAAAAATTTGGAGCAATATTTGATATAGTCCCACCCTGTATTATACACTCCTGATTGAAATTTTGTAATGATTTTATTTACACCGCATTGGGCTTAGAAATTTCAGTTCTGGTACCAAAGAGCATTTTTTTATTACATGGAGTTTCAGAAATACTCAAGAAATATCATCTTCAAGGGCCCCCTTTCGGGTAGCCATAGCTGCCTTAGGAGGCATTTCTCGTCCCATATTCATTGACAGTTTTCTTGCTATTTTTGGTAGTTGAAGCCGCTGGTGAAGTTTGGCAGGTTAATTTCGGGACACTCTGTATATGAGTGTAAAGATTTTGCAAGTTAGGACATATTTTCAACTTGCTCTAAATAATGAATAAGAGATACTAAGTACACAAAATACCATTATGTGGCTGTGAGCTTAGACGAAATTTCCAAATTTCGTCTTACAATAAGACGAAATTTCGAGTTAGCAAGGCAAAATTTCTACTTGGTAAGACGAAATTTCGACTTAGTAAGTCGAAAATTCGACTTGATAAGACGAAATTTCGAGTTACTAAGACGAAATTTCAACTTCCTAAGTCGAAATTTCGACTTTTTATTATTTCCACTGGCACTCCTGAGCTTTCGTAAGGGCGTTGATTGATATATTACGCTTAAAGGGAGAGACCTGAATCGTTTTTTATCTCATTTTGCAGCGTTGCCGAATTTGAGCAGCCTGTGCGGCATGTGCTGTCGGCTGATCGGCGATCGATTCCTGCTCAGGATAATGGACGTGTCGTATCACGAGCACTGTGTCAGGTGCTCTGCATGCCAGAACTCCCTTCATCACACCTGCTTTGTCAGGGATGGCAAACTATATTGCCGCTTGGACTATGACAGGTGAGTGCTAAACGTCTAAAACTGAAAAGTTGCGTTTTATTTATCAGATTCCGCCACCGGAATCACTTTTTTCATTTGCAACTCTAGATTCAGGTTGCTACCTTTCATTCCCTCTCACTACAAGGAATGACGTGAATGACTGTTGACAGTTGTCAAAAAATGAAATTATATTGACGAAAAACTAATCTTTCTGAAAGTAGATGACGTTCCGAAGACATTATTATGATTCTTTCAAATAAGACAGGTTGTATATCTTCATTCCCAGATAATATTAATTCTCTCGATCTCAGATAAATTTCTCCAATCACCACAATCACTGCTCCATATATGTGTTGATTAATTTTCTTGATTTTTAACTCTAGTATTATTATTTTGAAATTATTTGGTGCCCCAATATATAAATATAACCTCTAACTTATATGATATGTCAATTTATCTCATAGAATGATTGCAAGTTCATGGAGTTTCTCGTTGTATTTGTTAACGTCATTCTGTTTCCACCACCGTTACCAGAATGGAACAAATAAAATACAACTAGTCATACAAGTCATGGGAACCATCCATTCTCAAAGTGGTCCAGTATTTTCGAACAGGAGAAAAAAACGAACTCAAAGTCGGTCGACCACAATATATTTAATATAAAATAATCAGCGTGTGACTATAGTTTCGGCTATACGGCCATCTTCAGACACAATGAAAAAAGTACCTTGAAAATTACATGTACCTAGTATAGATATAAAACAAAATGGTAGCTGAGACAGAGTTGACATATGAGCTTCATCTAACTGCAGTCAAGCCATACAAAGGAAAGACGCAGAAATGTGAAATTGTAAGTGGTGATTTGACATTGACATGACAATATTGACAATTTCAAACACAGAATGATTTCGGTTGTCATTCAATGTCAATGTCAAGTCAACACTTTCAATTTCACATTTCTGCGTCTTTCCGTTCGATGGCTTAACTGCAGTAAGTTGAAGCTCAACTCTTTCTCAGCTACCATTTTGTTTTATATCTATACTACTTGTGGTGTTCTAGGTACTATTTTCATCATTTCTGAAGATGGCCGTAGAACCGAAACTGAAGTCACACGCTTATGATCTCCAAAATTTCCTAAAAATTCGTACCACATTATCCTCTCTGGGTACGCACATAATAGGGATTTCATTTTATGATGCGATCCAATAGATGGAAAAAATTTAATCTAAAATTTTTTGTTTGTTTTTGTCAACTTCGAAGATCAGACTCATATTAATATTATCGACATCTTGACATTCATAATTATAGTATCCAAACACAATTTCTCTCATGGGGATCATCCGTAAGAGAAATTTTGTTTTAGGCAGCATCTTATCATCCATGAAAAAATAAAGATCTTCGCATTTTCCTCCAATATTCCATATTTATCTTTTTTGTCGTTGTGCGTAGCTCAGAAAAATATATATCTATTATTCCAACCGCGATAGGGAACATATTGCAGAAAAGGGGACGGGGAATAGAGGGTAATTGCAATATGTTGCCTGCCTTCCCAGCTATTTTCCGGCAGCTTTGCTGTAATCCTGCGAGACACATGCTGGCCATGGGGCTGAAATGCACAAAAACGGAGAAATTCGTAATGGTTCAAGGCAGGCCCGAGATATACGAGTACTCTTCTGCTGAAACGTGCTCCATAGAATATGTACCTCTAGTTATTTTCTAAACTAGCACGGAATGTGATGAAAAGATCGTGCTTCAAGGGCATGAGTTTGGTTTGACTTTAACACAGCACAGAAAACGAACGAAGGTGAACATACTACTCAATAATCATACCATTACGATATCTCGCTAGAGAGTGATTGTAAACTATACTTCTTTTCAACATTCTGGAATAATTTCGAAGCAATGGGATTCGTTTTTTAATTGCTTAATTGTATATCCAAACAGAGGTAACTGTTTTGTAGTTACTTATCGATTTGTTAAAGAAGTTAATTAAAAAAATTACAATACAGATTGGATTTCTTGGAGGATTTACAAATCGATAGAGAACTACAAGACAATGACCTTTGTTTGAATACACAAGTACTACTAAACAGATGTTATACATTTCTCCATGATGAAAATCATTGTTTTTCACAACAGACACTGTTCCATATTTTGGCTTTAGTGAGTCTGAATCTGGCTTACGCTCCGGACTTATATATTGGGTCCACATATGGGTACTTCTGGCCATGGACCATGGGCATCTCGAGAAATTCACATCTTGCATGATTTTTGCATTTAGATTAGAGATTAGATTTGGAATGCGGCCTTCGGGCTATCTGCCTCGACACTGCGACCTTTTCAGATCTATTGTGTCTGCCCTCAAAATCGATTAGAGTTCTTCGGCTAGCCCCGCCTTCTCTATGAGACTCCATAGGCTAGCTTTCAGATCTCCTGTGTATCTCTGGGCTCCTGGTTTCTCCTCACCCAGCGTAAGGAACCTTAGTCTTGACAAGCCCTCACAGTGGCAAAGTATGTGTATTGCTGTTTCTTTCTCTTCTTGACAGAACCTGCACAGCAGTTCTTCAGTCAGACCTATCGTACTCATGTGTTTGTTGAGCCTACAATGCCCCGTGAGAAGTCCCACTAGTATTCTAGTTGAACTTCGTTTCTGGCTTAGTAGATATTCTGTGAATGTTGGCGATGGTTTTTTAATAAACTCTTTTGCCTGTCTCATTCCTGGGAGTTGTTCCACCATTCTTGAGATTTGGTTTGCATCCATGATTTGATACTAGTCTTTTGTATAACTTTCGCAATACCACAGAAGGGTTCCCATGCTAGAGTCAATCTGTTCTGACTGCCCAGTGATAGATAGCAATGGTTTTGCCTTTAAAATTTTATTTTTGCATTTACTATTGAGCTCGATCACGCGGAGGTTCTCGCATGAGTTTTACCTACAGTATCGAGGCTGGACATGTGGAGGATAAAAAAAAACTTGCAGACCACCGACCTCAACGCAAATATCGAATTGAACCACATCGAACCCGTTCAGATAACTGAAATTCGCTGAGAAGTCACAGTAACTTTCAAACAATAAATTAAAACCAGTAAAGGGTAAGTATCACTCACAGATACATTCATAACCTATAGATACAAAATTCTATTTATGGTATTATTTCTCCTGTTCTGGTTTGGCAACAAGATCTCATAACTTTTTTGAAAGACGAATAACGGTCCTTGGACCAGAGGACATTTCTGGTTCAGCATTATTTAATCTATCTTATTCTAGAGTTTCACAACATTTCACTAAAGACAAGATTGCAATGTAAATGGTGCAGGGTCATTTTTCTTCATTTGATCAATGTGCATATATAGTCATTCTATGTGCTTTTCTCAACCAATTTTCTGTGTCATAATCAAGCTGAAGTATTGATTGTTTTTAATTTTTGGAGGTTTCAAAAGCTTTACTTCATCAATATACAGATTTTTATAGAATGCGTAGTGTTAATAATTGAATTCAGGTACCTTTATATTCTTCACAGTGTTCCGATGTTGGCATGGTACAGGGTGGGCCAAATAGGACACTTTTAAAGAGAAAGTCCCATTCTGGAAGTAGATGAAAGAAAACTGATGTCGGTGCATATAGTGAAAAACGCAATGGTGAAATCCGCATATTGATATCTGTCTTCGTTTCGGAGTTACAAGGTGTTTTTCGGAAATGGGCATTTTTGAAAAGTGGCTGCAGATATTTTTTTTTGTAAAAATTGTCTGGTCTAATGGAAATAACTGCGAATTATCGAGTTTGTGTTTGTGTTTTCGAGTAAATGGAATCGTCCTTACTATATCTACAATTCAAGAATACAACTTGAAGGGAATGTTCTATTTTGCAACTACAAACTACAAACATGAAAAATGTACAACCCTGTACAAACATGAGAAATGTACTTTTGATCCCGATATAGCACTGGTCGATATCAAGATCATTATTGTTGTCTTTGTTGTTGAAGGTAGGTATTCTTTTCGATAAAACAGAGAAACTGTATATATCCTCTGATTCTCGATTCTAAATATTCTGTTTATTGTAAACATAAATGGAATTTTGCACCAGTTGAATGAGACCACCCACCCCTCCGTTTTCCCTCCATGCACCACTTTACAATCTGAGCCTTCGCCAAACAAACAGAAATCTTGATTTCGTCATTCTCGCAACTGTCAATTAGCCTTTACATAAACAATCGCGCGAAAGAGCAGCCAATAAGGGCCCAGTGCCGCGGGCGCGCGATCAACGTTTACCGAAAGATTCGAAACGTCGCAGTCACGTGCCTGGCCTCCGGCCGGGATATTGAAGTCCGGGTCAACATTGACTAGAGTCTAGGGCTAGCACTTTCTGAGGAGGCGAACGTAAGAATGTCCTGGTGAAATATAATTTGCTGAACAAAATTATTAAAGTATGCTGACCAAGCATTTCTGGTTCGATATTTTTCCATCGAATTGAATATTTAAATATCTCATATAGATTCATAGATGCCACCAGTGGAATTATTTCGATCCACCCCTTCAGAGGGGTAGTTTATTCTTGGATATTTCTGGACCGTATTTTTCCATGTTTCCATTATATGTTCCATGTCACAGCCTAATGAGCTGTGCTCCTGGTATTATTGCCTAAATAGGTAAGTATACAAATTGGTACAAAGATCTCGTTCGATTATCAGTTTTCAGTTTTTTTTTTTCATGTTCTGGTTCCCACGAAAAGGGATATCCTGTGATTTTCAGAAAACCAAGGGAAAATGAGGTAGAAATTGGTGTTCTTCTTAAATTTCTGGAGGTTATATGCCTCAGAGAACACCTCCATTGGCAATGACTTTCAGAGCCTTGCTTTTCGTTGGAATGAGATGTTCTGAAGGTTTCCAAAGTGACCACGAAGGGGTGCGAAGCCTCAACTCGACGAGTTAATCTCGCGGGGACTGTCAAAGGAGGAACAATTGTTGATATTTCAGAAGAGCATAGTCCATGGAAAAAACTATTCAATAGAGCCAGATCGC